GTATTAATTTAACATATCATAAATGTTAATTTTATTGAAAAAAAAATTCTTCCACGATTTTACTATCAATATTACCTTTTTGTATTTATTTTTTAATATTTCTGCTATACCTTATACATATTCATCTTGTGTTAAATTAATAAATTTGAGTGGACCGTTTGGGACACGTGAAATATATTAAATGTCACACGAACTTTCCAACGATGTAATTTACATTGGTAGAAACAAGCATTATTGATCGTAAAATTCGTGACGAGTGGATTCAACAAAATAAATCGAAGAATCGATCATTTTATCTTTTGAAAAACAGACGAAAATCGGTGCAACCTGAGCTTTAATGAGCGATCAAGATAGACGTGGATGAAGATCACGATTAAAGCGCCTTCATAAAGCTTGAATAACGCACGAGAGATTAGATTTAACGATATGGATACAAAATATCATGAACGTAACGAAACGGCAACGCGTAAAATCCCATCGGAGCAGCTTTACGGTGAGCGTGCTTTCATGAAAGCATATAAAGCTCGTCTGTCCTATTTTCCGAAATCTACGAGAAAAGATCGTTTCGTGAGCTTAAGGATCGCACGAGAAACTCGACCTTGAGACCGTCGAACAAGGCAACACGCACAGCACGGCACCATTGTGTTCATCAAGATCACTTTTCCTTACATCGCGAAAGAAAAGTGTATAACTTCGCTCTCACGTTCGCACGAACTGAAATTCGAGCGAAAAGGAAGACTGCAGTACTTACGATATAGCTGTTGCAATGTGCAAAGGTATACTTGCCAAAAAGGGCGCAGAGGTCCCGGAGGGGGGCCGAAATGATTGCGAGGGGCAATCGAGCACGTCGGTGGGAACGCCAGTCTTTCCTTCCAGGAAAGTAATTTCAAGTTGACGGGTAGGTGGTCACGCGATTGCGTCTTACATGTGGAAGAGTCTCGACGGCGGAGCAAGCTCAAAGCGAACCGATCCTCCACATTGGACTTAAAGACTACCTGTCCGAAAGTTGGTGTTGTCGAGAGTCTGGTTCATCCAAGAGAGAGAGAGAGAGAGAGAGAGAGAGAGAGAGAGAGAGAGAGAGAGAGAATCTTCCCTTTCCCTAAAAATCTGTTCTGTGCGATCAGAGCAGGTCTCGAGATCGGGCAAAGATCGAGGTTGTCGTCTCGTATCGTTCTTGCCCATAAAGAGGCTGTTTATCAACGACTACTTTTAGAAGCGGTGACTCATGCAGTTCACGCAGATACAACGTCCCTACCGAACCTGTCCATCGTCACGCGTAAACCACGGGGAGCCACTGGCTCCGCATACACGGCCTTTTATCTCTCATTTCCGCCGAACCGGGGTTTCCTCGTCGTTTTGCTCACACAAACGAGCCTTAGACGGGTTTTTAGTCGGCGTGACTCACCTTCTTCTTCGTTCCGACGTGCCTACAACGAGATTCGGTCGGTCACCGTGAAAAGATCTCGATAGCAACGGACAGACTCCCCGCCGGAGGAAATGCACTTAACTCGGCACGTTTCTCAAAGGCGCTTCTCTAAACGTGTAGATGCATATTATAATAGAAAAGAAAAAAACCAGAGAAAAACAAATCAGATTTAGGATTCATAATTCATTTGTCAAAATTTTAAGTGTGTTGATTGGCTACAGAATAGAGAAGTTTTTGAGTTTAAAAGTCTCTAATTCCTCCAAGTCTCCATTCTTGTAACCAATCAACCTATGGAAAATTGATCGTACGACAAATGAAATATTAACCTTAAAGGTGATAACTCTTAATAATATCATTACATTATTATCGCAGATATTATAATTAAGATCGAGTTTTTTATCGTCTGGTTAACTTATGATTAGACCTGATAAAAAAAATTTCTAGTTATAACTAGTTTTTAATGTTACCATTACAAAATCATCTTTTAAGGATTAATCTGATAGCACTGATAATAATTGGTAAAAATTATTTTTCTAATAGCTGTAGTTGATCACTAAACTTTTGTTGATCACTAAATTTTTAGAGGCTTTCTACAATAATTAGTAATAAATCAAGTCAGAAACTGGAAATTGACCAATCACAGCCGAACGTGAAAAGAATAATCGATTATGATTGGTCAATTTCCAGCTTCTAACTTCTGATTTATTACTAATGGTTTATTATAAAAAATCTCTTAAAGTTATCACACACCACAAAACTATTAATTTTATTTAATTTAAATAGTGATTAATCATAGCTAAAAAAAAAATACAATTTCTACATTATTATCAAGTTAAGTAAGGTTAAATCCAAACCACAAATCAATCAGATAATAAAAAACCGGTTTCTAAAATTACCATTACGAAACCATTAGTCCAATGATTAATCATAACTAGAAAAATATAATTTTTACATTATTATCAGATTAAGTCTAATCCTGAAATTCATCAGAAAATAAATAAAAAATAATGATTTAAAAGTTATAAAATAAGAACTTTAAGACGTTAAATGATTCAAAAATACACGAACGCTCGAGAGAAGATTACTGTAACTGATAGTTAAACCTTCTTCAGATCGACGAAAGGATTTATCTCGCGCGCGAGAAGTTCAGCACGCGAATGGCCAGATGGGTACCGTCTTGTTAATTTATTTGTCGCGAAGCGAGGACGGCGACCTCGTTTGTGCGCGACGACGCGCGGGTAATCTTCTACTAGCTTGAGACGATACTCCTCGGCATAGTGCACGTATGAATATGTATGGGACATCGTAATGGAGCTGATACACAGCTTCGCACGGAACAACAGTGCCTCTCTCCTGCACGATAAGATTTATCCCCCTAGAAAACCGATTACGTCGAACGGCCGCTAATGGATTTATCAGTACGGGAAATTCTGCCGGGAGTTACGAGAATGTACCAGTGTCCCTGGAGAGACGAGTCACTTAAGGAATCCATTACGAGAAATGGAGATCGCTACGCTGACGCGGCGGTGAGGTGACGCGCAAATAGCAAGCAAATAGGCGAGGAGGAAACAGCCGGCGAGTTGTCGAGTAAGCGAAAAGAAATCCAAGGAGAATAAGAAAGTCAACGTAATGTCAATTTCATGTCATATTGACCGAATTCCTTATTTTATTTTTTTTTTATGATTCAGTCAACATGATATTATTTTGATTTTCTCGTTTTCCTTAGGAAACGAAAAATCGTGTAGCTGGTCGTATTAAGTGACATCTATAATAAGATTTTAAAGACGGGAGCATAGTCTTGCTGTTATTACACTTGTACGATAAAGAATTTCAAGCCTATCGATTGACTGCAAGAAAGAGAAGCTGTCGGATCTCTTTATTCTATAATCAATATCTTCAATCAATCAATAAAGTTAAAATCTTTGCCGTATGACAAATGTAATAGTAACTTTACGCATAATTAATTTAAATCCTTCATTTCCTTCCTTTCCATGAAATAAAAGATTTGAATTTTGGTTGATTTTCTCCATATTATGTTTTATGCAAAGGTCTGTGCTCCTTAATGAGCTTTCTTATAATAAGCCATTAGCCCGGATCTACAATAAATTTTTAAGTCTTAAGTCCGTAAGGAATCATAATAAATTATTCTCCTCGCATGCGACTGTAATTGATCAATTTCTTACGGCTTAGAGCTTGAAATTGTAGCTCCGGACTTACCTAAACATTAAATTTTAAGCCTTGACAAATTGATCAATCATAGTAGTAGATTATTTTTTTCACATTCGACTGTAATTAGTTAATTTCTTACAGCTCAAGTCTTGAAGTTTAAGTAATGGCCTATGTAATTTAAGAATCCTCTACATAGAAATCATAGATGTTCGTAGGAAATCAAACACAATCACAATCAAATATAAGGAGAATATTCGATTAGAATTGGTCAGTTTCCTACGGTTTAAGATTCCACGACCGTCTATGACTTCTATGTAGAAGATCCTTAATTGTAAGCCGTAAGAAATTGACCGATCACAATCGATTATTCTCTTCACATTCGATTGTGATTAGTCAATTTAATCTTATGGCTTAGGGTTTAAACCTTAAGATTTTAGACACAAGTCAATCGCAAGATCGCGGCAGGCAATCTGAAGTATTAATTTCAAAATGTGATTCAGATTGGTTGCAACAACCTTGCGACTGACTTGCGTCTAATGTAGAACCAACTTAAAAAAAGACAAAGACCTCTCTGTAGAAAAAAAACCGGTGTATTTAGTGGTTTCAAACGCAAGGTCGTGGGGCGCGGTTGCGGGTTGCACGCGCGAACGCGTCACGAACACGCGAGAACCGAACAATATTCGGCGGTACATCTCTATCTTTGTTCTTCGTTCTATTGAACCTACCTACACACGGCCGTGCTCGCGCACACATGCGTGAACCGAGGATACCGTGGGAACAAGCCCGGCATAACAGGTAGTAAGATAGTCGCGTCTCTCTCTCTCTCTCTCTCTCTCTCTCTCTCTCTCTCTCTCTCTCTCGCTCTCCCTCTTTCATGGTACTTCACCAGCGTTGCGTGTAGACCTTCGTTGAATTTTTATGTATTCTTATTTCACAGTAGCCTCTCATCATTTAAATTCGAATACGAGCTCTTCGTAGCTTAAAGGACAAACTCATAAGAATGTAAAAACAGGAAGCAGAACCGGCTGTTTCTTTCTCCTTCATATGCGAAGACACGAAGAAATGCGTGAACACAGTTATGATAAAGCATCGAGTTGAGTGACATAATCGCGCAGAACTTGCGTAAACAGAGTGTCTCGTGTCAACAAGAGTGTTGCGAAACGAGTAAAATCGTATACCGGGAATATTAAAAATTGAAGCGTGTTTACTTCCAACGCGATCCTTGTTC